CTTGAATCTCAAGTTTGCTTTCTAGTAGTTGGTTTTTCTCTCAACTACTATCCTGTAGTTGGTCCTTAATCTCCAGTTACAAAACTTGGCATATACATTTTATGCAACTGTCATTTATTTTTAGTTGTCTTTACATTTCTATAGGTATTTAAGTTTATTGTTTAATCTTTATGTTAATTAAAATTATTTATTTCATTATTCTTTAATCTACAGTTATATAAACTTATTTACTTTATTATTTTATTTACTTTCAACTGCTATTTAGGCTCAGTTTGGAATGAGTACAAATACAAATACATAGAGTGCAAAACCATGTATTTTGTATGTATTTGCATTGTATATATTTGTATTTGTATTATTTTCAAACTAAAAAGTTACTTGTGATTAATATTTATCTTTATTTAATTGCTAATACTTGCAACTATTGTAGTTATACGCTGTTCATTTGTTTTTATCTACAACTTATCATATAGTAGTTAGTTGATTCTATTGATTAGCCTTTTATACAACTGCTATTATTTGATTCAGCCTCTATTTTACTGCATTTTGTATTGAATTTTCACGAAGGTTTAAATTTAGATTTATAGATGGTTTTAAGCTTGAAACAGACCAAGTTTTTAAGCTATACCCAATTCATCTTCTATTGACTAAGGCCATAAGTCCAAACACTACAAAGAACCAAAAGTACATATAAGATTTATAAAGGTTCAACCAAACTAAACATACATCATCTCTCTAAGCATACTACCTAATAATTCCCATTAAATTAGTTGAACTCTTAGAATGCTAGTAAGACCTTTACAATAGTTGGACTTTATAGTTACCAACAAGACCTTTACAACACTTAGACTTCATAGGTGCTAATAAGACTCTTACAACATTTGAATTTCCAAGGTTCAACAAGACTTTTAATTCGATAAACTTACAAATGATATCCCATCCTCTACAATATTCAAACTTTGAACACTTCAACAACCATCGATTAGAAAACCACTAGGTGATCAATTACAATAAAATATACAATAAAAACATAATAATCAATGCCTCTCACTAGGTTAATATGTGATACAAAAAATTATTCGAATGTAATAATGGGTAATTAGTATGGACTAACGCATTTGAAGATATTGGTAATTCTTGAAGATGATTAATGAAGTACAAATTAGCCTTTTTCAAGTTTTTTTTTTCTCCAAGGATAAAATATTTTTCAATTCATAATCTCTTTAAGCAAAGTTGCATTCTTGCCAATGCTTTATTTTTACTTTTCACAATAAAGCTTAATTCACTTTCTTAAGATTTTCATATCAAATTCATGCATATATAGCATAAATCATGTTTAGAGAGCTTGTGATTGTTATAAATCCATTAGGAATGGACTAAACCATTATTATAAATGTTTAAAACTTGTTTCCAACATTGTTAGATGTTTACATGAAAAGAAAAACCCATTGATTTTTCAAATAGTAAAAAATTTTTTTTATACTTCATGAAGTAATTAACTAACATGAGTAGATAGTCAATTATTTGAACTCTGTTAAGGTAGGTAGTTTACTGTCAATTTCAAGTAGGTGACTAGTACATGTATGAGAGAATATTTATTCTCTAATAATTAACAAGTTATATTCTCGATTGATAAACATAATCAAATACCCTTACTCCATTAGTCAACTATTAAACAAAGTTATGTGATATCAGTCTTGACTATTACAACTAGTTGACTTAGTACCTTGTGGGCAATAAACTAGACCATATCTAACTTTAGGAACTTTATGATAAACTTAGTTAAAGTCTATGAAAGGCCTATGCATTTAACCATTAGCCTCTAAGGTTTTGGTTATACCAAAATAGGTCAAACCCATTGTTATGCATCTTACAAATAATTACATCAAGTCCCAGAGAAATAAAAAATGTTGTAAGAACGTGATGTCTTATTCTTTTTCTTTTCATGAGAACACTTTTCTTTCTTAATGAGTATTTGTTCTACCATTTGATATAAGTACTCATTTTAAATCATTAGTATTCTTCAAATGAGCTTATTATCATTTTAGTTTATCTAATGAAATCATTTGGTATAACTATACACTTGTGTTCAAATTGTTAGTATTGTCAATTGATTTGTTGCCATCAAAACACATAGGGTTAATATGAAGAAAATTTAATTTCGAATAAGCAAGAAATAGCCATACAATTTGAAACCACTCAAATTGTATATTTTTATTACAATTGAATCTTTCCATTTATTCTTTTATCATATTTTTATTCTTGTTTAAATAGTTTATACATGATTACTTGGTGACATTTTGAAGGGGTAAAATGATCTGTTGCATTTGTTTTATTTATGTTTGAAAAAAATATGTTCAAAAATAATCATTGGTTTAAGTATTGTTGCTAATTTTTGACACTTATTGTTATGAAAGTGAATTCAACAAAACTTTAATGTTTTCATTTTAGTCTTTTTTCTAATACTCAAGTGACCTAACAAGCTTTTGATGCCATGCTATTTCCATTGGATTACTGTGCTTGAAGAATATCTCATTTTAAACAAGCAAGATATAGCTTAAAACCGTATTCTTTCATTTTCTTTAACCCAGGATTTTTCTTCTTATCTACAAAAGTTTATATTTGATTACGTGGCAATGATCCATTTTAAAAGGGTAAGGTTATAACTCTCTTCTATTTATTTTATTTCTAATTTCAATGCATTTATTTGTTGGAAAAATGTTATGAAATATCACGGTTTAAGTACTATTAATGGTTTTTGGCAACTTATTGTTGTTGATTGGTATGAAAGCATTAATGACCTTAATGTTATTTATGTCTCTGTTGTTGTTCCATTAAAGTTAAGTAGTTGAATCAAATACGAATTGGTCATACCCTTTTATTACGAGTATTCCATATTTTGATTAAGGAAAAATCTATAATGCCAAAAAGACATGATATTGGGAGAATTTTAACCAATTACATACCCCCTTTAGTTTTGATAAAAACCCACCTCCCATAATCCATTCCATATTGCAGATACTATTTTAAATTTGGTCAAATAGTGCCCCACTAGCAATTGTTATACATCTTCAAATTAAAACATTAATAAAGATACTTATAATCTCACCGAAATGTGAACAATGGATCTTATAGCAAGTGAACTAACAATACCTTGACTCTTTCTTTTTAGCTTTTTGTCAACACCAAGTGACTTAACAAGTTTTTAATGCAATGTTGTTTCCGTTTGGGTGATTGGCTTGAAGAACATCACATTTCAAACAAACAAGATTTAGCCATACCATTTAAAATAACTCAAATCATATCTTTTCATTACAATTAGATCTTTCCATTTTCTTTTACCCTACATTTTTCTTCTTCTTATCTACAAGACTTTACCCCTTATTACTTGGAAATAATCCAATTTGAAAAGGTAAGATTTTATCTTTTTCTATTTGTTTGATTTCTCATTTTGATGCATTTTTCTATTGAAAAGTGTTTTAAAAAATCATTGATTAAGTAACGTTGTTGTTTGTTGGCAAACTTATGTTGTTAATTAGTAATGGGGCAACAATAGAGACCTCATCCAAATAACATTATACCATTAATGCCTTCATATGAGGCATTTGTTTGGGTTTAATGGATCAACAATTTACACACGTTTAAGTTCTTACATGGTGAAGAAGATAATAAATATGAATCCATACCTAGTTATCATATATACAACCCATTTTACACATGGTGTTGGTGTATGAATTAATGTTAATGTTCAATGATAGTTGAATGAATAAAGATGACCTTACTTAGTATTGCTCTAGATAATCAATTATGGTGATTCTTTTGATTCTTTGGATAAGAATGTCATTTGAGAGTGAGATTTCCATGCAAGGGTAATTAAATTGAGGTCAATGCAAGGGTAAAGGAGTAGGAGAAACTTTTTTGCATGCAAGATACTTAGGCTCCGTTTCGAAGGAGTACAAATGCAAATATGTAGAGTGCAAAACTATATATTTTATACTATTTTGTATGAATTTGTATTGTAAATATTTGTATTTATACTTCTTCCAAACTAAGCCTTAAGAGTAAAGGAGCATTTATCACTGATTTACCAAATCAACCACTTAATATTCCATTTAACTATCACTGAACATGAATTTGTAAAATGAGTTGAATCTTACCCCTTCAAAGTGGGTAATTACTAAGTAATCAAGCGTAAACTCTTGTAAATATAAAAAAGAAACAAAAATAAAGAATAAAACAATAATAATACTCTACATTAGGGGTGATCATTTCAACCCGGCCCACACAAGTCCGGCTTGGAAATTCTAGGCTTGGCCTAGGTTTTGTGTTTAGGCCCGGCTCAACCCGCATATATTTAAACTTATACATTTTATGTATAATGTATATATATGTATATATGTTATTTTACATTATATTATATATTATATATATAAATATTATAACATGACATGTATAATTTATATTATATGTAATATTTTATATTATATAATGTATAAAATAAATTTATATGAATGTTATATCATTAATTATATAGATATATAATATTTTACATATGAATGACATTAACTCGAAATCAGGCCCAGCTCGGCCCAGGCCCATATAAACTTGGACTAGAACTTATGTTTCAGGTTCAGAACCCTGGCCCGGGCTGAGCCCGAGCCTAAAGTATAGCCCTTATATAAGTGAAAAGCCCGGCCCGACCCTCATCACCCCTACTACATTATATAGGTGTAATTGTCGTAAGTTCGGGGTCATTCTCTGGTTAAAGAATGAAACTAGAGTCAAAATTTAACATTTTAATTATACGCACATTTTCTTGTCTTTTACGTTCTTTTACTTAACAAACTAAAACACACATATATATTATCTTTTTAATTCTTTGGATCAGAATATCTGATGGGCTGGGCGTATAGCGTGCATTATCCAGGTTGGTTCCATACATCCCCACAGCTCTGCTATTCGTACTCCCCGTAGTACGATACCAATCTAACAGTCCTAAGCTGCTACTTACACAAGGCGCTGACGGAGACTCTCGATCAGGGTCTGCGACAAAACACTCCTTCTCAATTCCTTCGTCCTTCCGGTTTCCTCTTCCCTTTTCCATCGGTTTGAGTCCAGGCGAAGGTCACCGGCTGCTGGGTCATCCACTGTCACTTACAATTTCTTGTTTCCTGCTAGTGTGAACGAACAAAACCCTAATAATCTGCAGCACTGGTTCAATTTTGTAAGATTGGCTTGAGGTCTGGCATCGCTTTCTAGATTTCTGTATTTCTAATTTTTGATTTTCTTTAATCTCATGTTTCTGTTACCGTTTGTTTGGTTTCTAGCTACTTCTTAATTTTTCTTGTTCTTCGTTGATATATTGGGTGCTTAACGTGGTTGCTCGCGATTTTTTCTTGATGATAGGCTCTGAATACTTGTATAAGAGGGAGGAGATTAGGGCTTGAAGTTTAGTAAACTGCGCTTGAACTTATGATGTGGATGTAATTTCGTAAATTTGTTTTTGTTTTACAGTAGATTAAGGGGATTTGGGTGTGTTATTGCTGGAAGTGAAGTAAGGATGTCTGAAGAAAGAAGAGTACACCCTGATTGCATAAATGCTTCCAATCCCTACCATGAATGCGTTGAGTATTGCTTCAGAAAAATAGCTGAAGCCAAGGAGTGGATCAAGAAAGAGGAATCAGGTTACTTTCTTTTTCTTCCCGTTACTGTTAGGAACTTGGGATTGTTTAAATTTCTTTTATTTTGTTATAACTTTGATCAAAGCTGATTTCTTTGTTGTTCCTTTGTAGAGAATTTCTTTTGGTTGCTTTCTTAGTAACTATGTTCTATAACAAGAAATATGGAACAAAGGGCAAAGAAATGAGAAGAGTTCTTGGAATTATGATAAACCTTATTGGGTTGCAAATTTATCTGTTTTGGTTAGAAATTATTTAATATATCTGTTTAGGAAGCCACCTTAAAAATGATGCAGCTTACTGCAATTTTAATTGTTTTTTTGGAAAAAGGTAATGTAATATTTATTGAATCAAAAGCAGCACATACAAGCTGAGATCAGTCCCAGAAAGGCAGAATGAATAACTCAGCAATTACATACTCCACCAAGAACTAGAATGAAAAGCAACTGACAAGTTACAATTTCTAAACTCCTTCTGACACCCAAGAGATTAACTTGCCCACAACTTTCTAGATTAAATCTTCTGGACTTAAGGCCTTATCATAGAAAAGCCTACTATTCCTCTCGGACCAGATGGACCATAAGACAACACTAAGAATAGTCTTCCATCCTTTTCTTGTTAAGCTCTTTGATGTTCCAGCAACACAAAAGCTCCTTTACCGATCTTGGAATAGTCCATCTTAAGTTTATGGAGCTGCAAAAGTGGTTCCACAGCTGAGAAGAGAACGGGCAGTGAATACACAGATGGTCAGTAGATTCAGAATTATTCCCACACAGACTGCACGAAAGGTACAAAAGCTGAATGCCCCCTCTCACAAGATTAGCTCTAGACAGACATTTATTTAGAACCATAGTCCATACCAGGAAGTTGGATTTAGATGGGCTAATAGGATTCCACACCTGAGAACAAGGGAAATCAGTGGCACCCATTCTACAAAGTTTGGAAGCCAAAGAATTGACAGAAAAAACACCATTTGGATTCCACTTCCAATACCACTTATCTTCTGAGTAGAAATCAACTTTTTGAGACTGAAGAATAGTCAACATGTTCACTATCTCTTTCAGCTCCCAGTCGAAAAGATTCCTTCTAAAAGTAAGGGACCAAATAATTGACTCTCTAGACAAGTTGCAACACTCAGCAACAAAAGCCTCTTGGTTAGATGCACATTGAAAAAGGAGAGGAAAAGATTCAGCAAGGGAACCATCCAAGCACCAAGGATCCTTCCAAAATTTGGTTCTACTACCATTGTCGACCTTAATTAAGATCCCATCAGCAAGAACGGAGAAGTTCTTCATTTTCCCTTTCCACAGAGAGTTTCCCCAACTAGGAGGAGGGTTCTTAGTTCTCCAGTTGCCCCACTCCACTCCATACTTACCAATAACGAGAGATCTCCACCAAGCATCATTTTCAACTGCAAATCTCCAGATCCACTTACAAAGGAGGGCAGAATTAAAGGTTTTTAATTTCCTTATGCCTAAACCACCTTAATCCTTGGGGAGACGGATTTGATCCCAACTAACAAGATGAATTTTTTTCTCCTCATCCCAACCCCTCCAGAGAAAATTTCTTTGAAGTTTTTCAAGCCTTCTTGCAACTTTGTTTGGGATAGGAAAAAGGGAGAGGAAACAGGTAGCTAAATTGGATAGTGTGCTTTAATCAAAGTTACCCTACCCCCAAAAGAAATATATTTTGCCTTTTAAGACGCCAATTTTCTCTCCATTCTTTCAATAACTGGGTCCCAAATTGAAGACAACCCACAACTTTCCCCTAGAGGAAGACCCAAATATTTAATTGGAAGGGACTCAATCTAACATGCCAAAATCTCCGCACAATCAACTAAGTCGGAAACCTGACCCACTGGAATGATTTGACTTTTGTTCCAATTGACTTTAAGACCAGAGACCACCTCAAACTAATATAAGATCCCAAGAATTAAGTCCACCCGAGAGGGAGGAGCATCCACAAAACATAGTGTATCATCTGCAAATTGGAGAATGTTAACCTTCTCCCCCTCCGGAGCAATTGCAAAACYTTCCCACTCACCAGAATCAACAACCTTTTTACAAAACAAAGTGAGGATCTCCATTACACATATAAAGAGTAATGGAGACARGGAATCACCCTATCTAAGACCCCTAGAACTATCAAAGAAGCCTGTAGATTGTCCATTAATCAAAGCAGAAAATTTTGGAGAGGTGATACATACTTCAATCCAGTTYCTCCATTTTTGCCCAAAATTCATCTGTTGCAACACAAGATCAACACATCGCCAATTRACATGATCATAGGCCTTTTCAATATCAAGTGCAAATCAACCCTGGGGAACCCTCKCTTTTTCTTGAATGAATCAGTTCATTAGCAATAAGAACTGAATCAAGCATCTGTCTACCTGGAACAAAGGCACTTTGATTGTTAGAGATAACACTACCTAAAGCCCCTTTCGTTCTCTCTGCAAGGACTTTGGCTAAGATTTTATAGAAGCTATGTAGAAGACTAATCGACCTGAAATCTTTTATGTTCACTGCACCTTCAATCTTTGGAATAAGGGTAATAAAAGTAGTGTTTAAACTCCTTTGCAATGAATCTCTCTCATAAAAGCCTTGAAAGACATTCAAAATATCTTGTTTCACAAAGTCCCAGCATTTAATGTAAAAAAGATTTGTAAGCCCATCTGGCCCCGGGGATTGTTGATCTGCCAACATCTTAATTGCTGCTTTTATTTCCTCCTTTGTGAAGGGTCTTTCAATGAAGGTGGACTGAACATCACTCATCTGTTTGAAGGGAAGGGACCTAGGAAATGGTCTGAAGATCCAAGATTCTTTATAAAGCTTTTTATAAAAACTGGTTGCCTCTGTCTTCATTTCTTCCTTAGACTCCCCCACCCTACCTTCCCCTTCAACCTAGTAATTACAGAAGTTTTGGCTCTTGCATTTGCCATTTTATGGAAGAAATGTGTGTTTCTGTTCCCCTCTTTTAGCCAAGCCACTTTAGCTCTTTGTCTTCATTTGATTTCATCAGTCACGACCAATTTATCATACTTCAACTTCGCCTGAGATCTTTTCAATTTGCACACCTCTGATAAAGGATTGAACTCTTCTGCTGGATCAATCTCCTTTGTGGTACTCAAAAGAGCTTTCTTTTCCGTTTCTAAATTATTGGTGAGAGTATTGTCTTTGTTGATCTTTTTTAAGCATATGGAGAGTAATTTAAGGAATTTAGTGGTTTATACTTGTTTCTTTTGAGAGGTGCAGTAGTAGTTTGTAGGGGGTTTGCTAGGGCAGCAAGGAAAAACTTTCCCCAACCCCCTGTGCTTGTGTGCATGGGGTATTATTAACTTTGTTTATTGTTTGCCCTAATGGTTTAAATGCCCAAGGTGCAAAAAAAAAAAAAAAGCACAAGAGCCTTAATGTGCTTGAGGTGCAAGGTGCTAGGTGAGGTGTATGCCTTTTTGAAGGAGGTGTATGCCTTTTTGAAGGAAGACAACATTTTCTTAACAATTATCAATATTTTAACATCCAAAATGAGAAAAAAGAGCATCATACAGTGATATAGAGTACAAACTACAAACTCCAAATGATTTACCTATAACTTACAAACTAACTATTATTAATTAACAGTTTTTCTTGTTTTATTGATTGGCAAGTACTAATTTACAGTTTTGCATTCATTACCAAGTAATTTCATGCAAAAATAGCAAAAAAAAAATAAAAAAAAACTAAGCAAGTCTGCAGGTGTTCTACCTGAATGTGAATCCACAAACAAACTCTGTAACTATCACAGCCCACAAGCTTAAGACTGAATAACAAATGATATAACCTGTAATTAGGTCTTTCTCAATTACCAGTCCACAAAATAGGGTGCTGATTTAGTGAAATTGCACTTACATGCATGTTGGTGTGAAAATTTTAATAAATTCTCATGCAACATAATTCACTCAAACAAGTGATTGAGTTTTTATTATTTTGGGTAAGGCCCATTCAGGGAATCATACGAATTGTTCCCCTTAATTACATCTCCACAAGAAAGTAGAGAACACCTTTTGATTCTGAATTGGAGATATGAACGCATAGAACAAAAGAAAAGAACAATAGGGTACTTAAAAAGAACTTTTTTTTTTTGATCAATGAAAAAAAAAAAAGAACTTTTCATTTGCTCTTCTTTTACATCAAGTGTACAAGAATGAGAGGAAAGAAAAAGAAAATACAATTGGGAAACTATACAACAATACATTTCTCTTTTCTTTTTAATACAAAGAAAATTTCCTTCTCACTCCTTTCTTTATAATAAGTTGTAGTCAATCAGATGAAATTGTGATTGTAGACAGCCTTAATCCTTGGAATTTTGCATACAAAAAGGGAATCGCTGTCAATCAAATTAAATATTTGATTGTAGACGATTTTCATCCCTCTGCTCTTCATTTTCATTTGAAGGGAACCATAATCAGCCTTTGAGATTTAGACTGTAGATGGTTTACTCCCTAACTTTGTCTTGAAAGAGGGACCATAATCAACCAAGTAGAGGCACCTAGTTGTAGATGGTTTATTTCCGTCTATTTCCTTTCTCAAAAGCGAAAATAAAAGAGAGAGGAAGAAGGATACATAGCAGAAGACATATATAGGAAGTATTCACATCGAGGACTTTCTTTTTTTTTCTACCTGTATTAGTGAGACTTTCCCTTCCCTGCCTTCCCTTGAGCACTTCTCTTTTCTTCTCTCCTTATCTTTGCTTTTCTTAAGAATCTCTTGTGAAAAATTTCTCCGAAGAATCTCTCTGCCTATCTGTGTGTGTGCTTCTAGATTCCCCTTAAGGAGCTTAAATGGGGAGTGGGGTAGTTATGTAACTACCCCCTCCTCGTAGGTGAAGGCATAGTTTTCAAGGCGCCCAGGCGAGACTAGGCGACTTGGGGGGGGGCGCCTAGGCGATGAATTTTTTCATGCTAAAAAATAGATCCTAGGGTAGTTCCCTAGGTACCATAACCATATTTCTTTAATAAATGTTCATGGTTT